CAAACAGATATAGCGTTTGACTAAAACATAATATTTTCAAACCTTGCTTACATTTGTATACGATCAAATATCTCTTATGCGTGGGAATACATTCTAACAGATTTCCTAAATTAAATAATAAATTGCTCAGAAATTGGGGATTACATAAAATCACCCACTGGCCAGCAGTTGGGGAAACCTGACCCAGAGGAAGGCTTCATGAAAGGACATGACGCAGTGGGGGGAAAACAGCCCTGATTCAGCCTCTAGGACAGAGACAGATACACATGGTTTTGATGTGTGTTGGTTTGATCTTAGCATATGTTCTATATATGGATACTAACCATCCCCACCTGCCCCCTTCTTCTCTCTGTGTCACACTCAGAGATCTCATGATCTGCATAGTCATTCAATTCATAGTCGCCCTGTCCCAGCCTTTACTAGGCTCACACAAACTCTGTTTGGGGTTTTAGGCCGGGTTTCTGTATAAGCACTTTGTGACATCTGCTGATGTAAAAAGGGCTTTATAAATACATTTGATTTGTTTCTACGGAACTCAAATCCGTTTATCTTCTCCCAAATCCTAGCCTTAACCATTAGAAGGGAAAACGTATAACTGATCTTAGATCGGTTTAGGGGCAACATCCTCCTACTCAGTCATAGCCCCAACACGTACCTCCTTCGGAGCTCATTTCCTTCTGTTATTTTAGGTTCCCTATTCTCGCCCCTCAGACAAACTGTAGGCAAAGGTCACTAGACTAGACACATGACACATGATTCCAGAACAATCAGTTTCACTCCTTAACCACGGAACGTACTGTTTCACCACTGAACTCTCAGTTCTGTGTCAAGTGAATCACTGTCTGTTGTTGCCCAGTGAATTACCATGGTTTTTGTTGCCCAGTGAATTACCATGGTTTTTGTTGCCCAGTGAATTAACATGGTTTTTGTTGACCAGTGAATTACTTGGATTTTTCACTTAGAATGTATACCAAACAAAAACCATTGATTTCAAAGTTTAACAAACCATACAACTCTATGCACAAGGACTCCTTTTTAACAATTTACACTGACATTTTTACAAAAACATATTTACTGGAAGAACTGTTCAGATGCAAAGTTTGGTAACAGAATTTCTGTAAAATCTCCCTCAGTTTTCTGTGTCCACTTTTTACAAAACGATGTTAAATATCTGCTCCGAATTAAGATTCAACAATGTCTGCAGAAAGAAGGGGGTGTCATCTATGACATAACACATTGACTTTGAAAACATATTTTTTTTTTATTGAACTACAGTAAGTGAAGTGGATTTATACCCGGTAACGGAATTTCATCATGGGTCCCTCTGTACTGCATAGAAATGCATAATGATGGATATGAATGCCATTCTCTTCATGGTGATGTATCCTGAATAGATACACAAAGGTAGAAATATGCAATATGCTCCTTTGCATATTTGGGTATTATTCTACACACTGGCTATTATTCCAAACAAGACCAAATTTGGTTGGTCCGGACCAAATCTGAACCAATCATAGACGTCTATGTTTCACAAGTTTGGACATCAAAGTACAGCACTGTAGAGATCAGTACAGTTGAGCACAGAACAGTATAGTACAATACAGTACATTATAGTGTACTCTACTCTAATGTGTACTGTACTGTGCTGAACTCTACTGTGCTGAACTCTACTCTACTCTGCTGTACTGTGCTGTCCAAACTTGTGAACCCAACTGTGGTTTGATTTCTATTATTTCCCGTTGTAGCCAATTCCATTGCATAAATTCCGTTACAGATTAATTTTTTCTTCTGAAATTCAGCTTGTGACAAATACAATTGTATTTTATTTGACTTAATAATTTAAATCAGTAAAAACTAACTATTTGATAGGTCTACCTTTACTTATTACTTCTGTTAACTTTAGTTATCCTCCCGCCTCATGAGGGAGAGAAATTAGAAAATATCTTAAAGATATGTGAGTTTTTGGTAACGGAATTTCTTAAACTTACAGAAGGCAGACATTTTTTAAAACGAAATATACAGTGCCTATAGAAGGTCTATATTCACCTTGTGTTGCCTTTTATAGCCTGGAATTAAAATGCATAAAAAATGAAGTACCTTGGTTGCATATTGTAAGCATCCACCCACCTTGTAATAGCAATCCTAAATTAGCTCAGGTCTAACCAATCACCTTCAAAATCACACACCAAGTTAATTGACCTCCACCTGTGTTAAATTGTAGTGATTCACATGATTTCAGGATTCATTCAGCAGTTACTGTAGATTCCCTCTGCTGGGTAGTGACTTGCAAAGGAAACACTCAACCATGAGGACCAAGGAGCATTCAAAAGAACTCCGGGACAAAGTTGTGGAAAGGCACAGGTTTGTGTCACAGCCAGGCTTTCACTGAAAACATAACTGCAAGCCCTGCAAGGTTTATCCCTGTGTAAGGACATACAGTGCATTCAGAAAGTATTCCCTTTTTCCACAGTTAGGGACGTTACAGCGAAAACAGGTAACATAAGTATTCAGACTTTTTGCTATGAGGCTTGAAATTGTGCTCAGGTGCATCGTGTTTCCATTGATCATCCTTGAGATGTTTCTACAACTTCATTGGAGTCCACCTGTGGTAAACTCAATTGATTGGACATGATTTGGAAAGCCACACACCTGTCTATATAAAGTCCCACAGTTGACAGTGCATGTCAGAGCAAGAACCAAGCCATGAGGTCGAAGGAATTGTCCGTAGAGCTCAGAGACAGGATTGTGTCGAGGCACAGATCTGGGGAAGGGTACCAAAGAATGTCTGCAGCATTGAAGGTCCCCAAGAACACAGTGGCCTCCATCATTCTTAAATTGAAGAAGTTTGGAACCACCAAGACTCTTCCTAGAGCTGGCCGCCTGGCCAAACTGAGCAGTCGGGGGACAATGGCATTGGTCAGGGAGGTGACCAAAAACCTGATGGTCACTCTGACAGATCTCCAGAGTTCCTCTTTGGAGATGGGAGAACCTTCCAGAAGGACAACCATCTCTGCAGCGCTCCACCAATCAGGCCTTTATGGTAGAGTGGCCAGACGGAAACCACTCCTCAGTAAAAGGCACATGACCGCCTGCTTGGAGTTTGCCAAAAGGCACCTAAAGGACTCACAGACCATGAGAAACAAGATTCTTTGGTCTGATGAAACCAAGATTTAACTATTTGTCCTGAATGGCAAGCGTCACATCTGGAGGAAACCTGGCACCATCCCTACGGTGAAGCATGGTGGTTGCAGAGTCATGCTGTTGGGATGTTTTTCAGCGGCAGGGACTGGGAGACTAGTCTGGATCGAGGGAAAGATGAACGGAGCAAAGTACAGAGAGATCCTTGATGAAAATCTGCTCCAGAACGCTCAGGACCTCAGACTGGGGCTAAGGTTCACCTTCCAACAGGACAAGGACCCTAAGCACACAGCCAAGACAATGCAGGAGTGGCTTCGGGACAAGTCTCTGAATGTCCTTGAGTGGCCCAGCCAGAACCTGGACTTAAACCCGATCGAACATCTCTGGAGAGACCTGACAATAGCTGTGCAGCAACGCTCCCCATCCAACCTGACCGAGCTTGAGGATCTGCAGAGAAGAATGGGAGAAACTCCTGTGCCAAGCTTGTAGTGTCATACCCAAGAAGACTCGAGGCTATAATCGCTTCCAAAGGTCCTTCAACAAAGTACTGAGTAAATGGTTTGAATACTTATGTAAATGTCTTATTTCTGTTTTTTATTTGTAATACATTTTGCCAAGAAAAATGTGCGTTTGTCATTATGGAGTATTGTGTGTAGATTGATGAGGGGGGAAAAAACAATTCAATCCATTTTAGAATAAGACTGTAACGTAACAAAATGTGGGAAAAGTCAAGGGGGCTGAATACTTTCCGAATGCACTGTATTTCTAGAGAAGTCACATGTACACCTCTTCACCTCTTTCACTTCTTCATTTCTTCAGCCCTCGTTTTGGTCCATTGCTCTCCATCAGAATTCATTGAAATATAAAAACACAGAAGACTGAGTCCTGTTGGTGTAAGCCATTCCATGGAGGGCCGAGTGTCTGCGGGTTTTCGCTCCTCCCTTGGACTTGATTTGATACATTTTAAGGTCACTGATTAGTAAGGAACTCCCCTCATCTGATTGTCTTGGTCTTAATTGAAAGGGAAAAACCAAAAACCAGCAGACACTAGGCCCTCCATGGAATGAGTTTGACACCCCTGGTTTAAGGCATGCTTTGACAGTAAACAATATAAAAATAAATGTTCTCAGTTCTCCTTTTGCAGAAGGAACCGTTCAGTTGTTAGACTTCTGTGCGCGGCTGACTGTGACTTGAATCAGATGGCAGCAAAGCCGTGACCAGGTACAAGCCTGTATCTGACTGCACAGTTCTGTTGTTGTTAGCTAGGTTTCAAACCCGTTTTCTATATCAGACATTGATTGGCTTATCTCTTTGAGTAACGTATGAATAGAACCCTGATGTACACAGAGTGTACAAAACATTAGGAACACCTGCTCTTTCCATGACATAGCTTTCACCTGGTCAGTCTATGATCTGTTATTGATGTTAAATCCACTTCAATCAGAGTAGATGAATGGGGGAGGCAGGTTAAAGAAGGATTTTTAAGCCTTGAGACATGGATTGTGTATGTGTGCCATTCAGAGGGTGAATGGGCAAGACAAAATATTTAAGTGCCTTTGAACAGGGTATGGTGGTAGGTGTCAGGCGCACCAGTTTGAGTGTGTCAAGAACTGCAACGCTGCTGAGTTTTTCACGCTCAACAGTTTCCCGTGTGTATCAAGAATGGTCCACCACCCAAAGGATATCCAGACAATTTGAGACAACTGTGGGAAGCATTGGAGTCAACATGGGCCAGCATCCCTGTTGAATGCTTTCGACACTTTGTAGTCCATGCCCCGATTAATTGAGGCTGTTCTGAGGGCAAATAGGGGTTCCTAATGTTTTGTACACTAGTGTATGTTTTTTTTTTTTTTTTTTGCCCAGAAGCCCCCAATGCCCAGCGCCAGGAGGAGATGGAGTGTGGAGCAGCGACCCCTGACCCCACCAATGATGTCACACTGTCCCAGGTAAGGTAATCATATTCAAATCATATTTTTTTGCAGTCAGAGGTAAAGACATTACTCTGAAGGACAGTGTTCGGAGAATTGTGGTCTTAAAGTTTTTAAAGGCATGCTCCGGAACTTTGGTGACGATTGAGTATTTTTGAAACCGCCCGCTTTAGGCTAGATGTGTCAATCTGTAGTTCATATATGCATAATCTATGAGCAGAATTACTGTTTTACCTCAATTAGCCATGAAATCCCTCGTTTGAAAGCGACTGTTTTTCTGGGAGCTGTGCTGTGCAATTTTCCCTACATTTTCCCCCACATGAGCCAGCAGCCTAGCAATACGACTTCTAGCCAATGAGCTTCAGCTCCTCGACATTTGAGTGACCGCTAGCAAGACGCGCGCACACACAGCAGATCGAGAGGGAGAGCATGACGTGGTGCACATATCTGCACATATGTGACATAGTATGCAATCTTTGGAGACCAAGTTGTCTCCCCTTATGGTTTGTGAGCGCTACTTTCAGAACTACTGGCTAGAAAGTATACGGTAGTACCAGATAATGTCTTTAAGTGGGTGTGTGTGCGTGCTAGGAACAGGACATCAGTGGAGAGGACAGTCTGAGTGAGGAGGAGAAAGCCAAACGCAGAGCGGAGCGACGCAGAGCCAAGAGAAAGGTTAGCAACACGCAGCCATACACACGCGTACTCCACCTGAGCCATAGTGTTTCGTTAAAAATCATGAGACCAGTGAAGAACATAGTCAGCACATAATCTGTATTCCTGATGCGTGATGCTGTTCCTATGTTTTGCTCAGCGTCGACGGGAGCGCAAGAAGCTGGAGCAGGTGAAGAAGCCTGAGAGCACTGAGCAGGTAAACTACAAACCAGTATTACATGTCTTCAGAATTAATCTGAATCATGCGACACTTAGCAGCCTCATTTGCAGTAATCGAAAAAAGGAATGTTATGTATAAAAAGGAATGGACAGTTTGCATTCCAACTAGGTTATTATATGCCCTCTCTGTTTGTGTTTACCAGGACGCTGAAGATGATGATGATGATGGTGAATCGGAGGAGGAGGAAGCAGAGGGGAGCGATTCTGAGGAGGTAGAAGAAAAAGAGGATGGCGCAGCTCTTCCTCTTCCTCCCCCCATCCATCGCTCCAAGGAGCCCCCCGCCCCATCTCCAGCCCCCTCAGGGACTAAAGGACCCCAGAAGACCGCTGCACGACCCTCTGAAGAGGTAGGGGCAGACGGACTCCTTCATCTTGGCAAGGCAATGGCGTAAGAGCCTGGTCCCAGGTCTGTTTGTGCTGTCTGTGTGACAATGGCTATAGGAATTGGAAAGGCAGCACAAACTGATATGGAACCAGGCCGATGATGCAGTGTTGTTGAGTTCAGAAACCGTCTGGGAAACTACCCAGGCTAGTTTTTAGGTCTCTACTTGAGGAGTCTTAATACACACTGATGGCTACCTTTGTAAACCAGTCTCTCTTTCTTTCTTTCTTTCTTTCTTTCTTTCCTTCTCCCCTTCTCCTGTAGGAACCGGAGTGGGATGTGAGCAGTGCGTTCTTTGCCAACGCTGCTAGCCACATCAGGCCAAAAGGCTGGACCAAACCTGGGCGCAAGTCCAAAGAGAACAAGGAGAACGAGGGCAGAACCAGAGAGGTAAGTGGACCCTGAGCTTTGGGATATCTACCTTGCTGGCTAGTTGCTGTGGTAAGAGTGTTGCTAGCCAGGATATCTAGCTAGATACAGTGAGGGAAAAAAGTATTTGATCCCCTGCTGATTTTGTAGGTTTGCCCACTGACAAAGACATGATCAGTCTCATTTTAATGGTAGGTTTATTTGAACAGTGCGATACAGAATAACAACAACAAAATCCAGAAAAACGCATGTCAAAAATGTTATGAATTGATTTGCATTGTAATGAGGGAAATAAGTATTTGACCCCTCTGCAAAACATGGCCACCAGGTTTGCACACATCTCAGGAGGGATTTTATCCCACTCCTCTTTGCAGATCTTCTCCAAGTCATTAAGGTTTTGAGGCTGACGTTTGGCAACTCGAACCTTCAGCTCCCTCCACAGATTTTCTATGGGATTAAAGTCTGGAGACTGGCTAGGCCACTCCAGGACCTTAATGTGCTTCTTCTTGAGCCACTCATTTGTTGCCTTGGCCGTGTGTTTTGGGTCATTGTCATGCTGGAATACCCATCCACGACCCATTTTCAATGCCCTGGCTGAGGGAAGGAGGTTCTCACCTAAGATTTGACGGTACATGGCCCCATCCATCGTCCCTTTGATGCGGTGAAGTTGTCCTGTCCCCTTAGCAGAAAAACACCCCCAAAGCATAATGTTTCCACCTCCATGTTTGACAGTGGGGATGGTGTTCTTGGGGTCATAGGCAGCATTCGTCCTCCTCCAAACACAGCGAGTTGAGTTGATGCCAAAGAGCTCGATTTTGGTCTCATCTGACCACAACACTTTCACCCAGTTCTCCTCTGAATCATTCAGATGTTCATTGGCAAATTTCAGACGGGCCTGTATATGTGCTTTCTTGAGCAGGGGGACCTTGCGGGCGCTGCAGGATTTCAGTCCTTCACGGCATAGTGTGTTACCAATTGTTTTCTTGGTGACTATGGTCCCAGTTGCCTTGAGATCATTGACAAGATCCTCCTGTGTAGTTCTGGGCTGATTCCTCACCGTTCTCATGATCATTGCAACTCCACGAGGTGAGATCTTGCATGGAGCCCCAGGCCGAGGGAGATTGACAGGTCTTTTGTGTTTCTTCCATTTGCGAATAATCACACCAACTGTTGTCACCTTCTCACCAAGCTGCTTGGCGATGGTCTTGTAGCCCATTCCAGCCTTGTGTAGGTCTACAATCTTGTCCCTGACATCCTTGGAGAGCTCTTTGGTCTTGGCCATGGTGGAGAGTTTGGAATCTGATTGATTGATTGCTTCTGTGGACAGGTGTCATTTATACAGGTAACAAGCTAAGATTAGGAGCACTCCCTTTTAAGAGTGTGCTCCTAATCTCAGCTCGTTACCTGTATAAAAGACACCTGGGAGCCAGAAATCTTTCTGATTTGAGAGGGGGTCAAATACTTATTTCCCTCATTTAAAATGCAAATCAATTTATAACATTTTTGACATGCGTTTTTCTGGATTTTTTGTTGTTATTCTGTCTCTCACTGTTAAAATCAACCTACCATTAAAATTATAGACTGATCATGTCTTTGTCAGTGGGCAAACGTACAAAATCAGCAGGGGATCAAATACTTTTATCCCTCACTGTAGTTGCTGTGGTGGGTGTTTTGTTGATGTCTGTCTGTAAGAGGTGTTGGGGCTAACGCTAGCTAGCTACTTAGAAGTTGTGGCAGTAGCAGTGTTGTTGGGGCTAATGATGCTAGCTAGGTAGCTAGTTTCTGTGGTAGGAGTGTTGATGATAGCTAGCTACCTGTCTGCTGTGAGGCATAGGATATCTTGCTAGCTAGAAGTCGCTGCGTTGTGGAAGTGTTATTGGGGCTAAGGATAGCGAGGTAGCTAGCTAGTTGGTGAAAGCTTGCTGTTTGATAGCTGTTATAGCAGTGTTGGTGATTACTTGCTCTCTGTACTGGGAGTGTTGATGGCTAACTGTCTGCTCTGGTAGTAGTGACGGGGATAAGGGTAGCTAGGTACAGTAGCTATTTACTGTGGTAGGAGTGTGGGGGCTAAAGATAGCTAACTGTCTACTGTAGTAGGGGAGACCAGGGGTAAAAGTAGGCACATCAAATGTTCAGCCTGCTGCACAGACCCTATGGATGCTCTAGTCTAGAGTGCCGGGTTAAATTGTGCTCAGGATAATCTTACATCTCTAAATGTTTAAAGTAGGAAGACATAGATGTGATTATTGAAATAATCTGAGTTTGCTTCATTTACTATAATCCTAAATTGCCACCTCTTTTTTTTATTTACCTGTGGAACATTCCCCATGTGTCTAATAATATATAGTTTTTCAGTAAGAAGATGTCTTTTTGATTGGTGTAGTTGATGAAAATATACTGAAACAAAAATATAAACGCAACAATTTCAACGATTTTACTGATTTACAGTTCATATAAGGAAATCAATCAATTGAACTAAATCAATAGGCCCTAATCTATGGATTTCACATGACTGGGCAGGGGCATAGGCCCACCTGGGAGTGGCATAGGCCCTCCCACTTGGGTGCCAGGCCCAGCCAATCAGAATTAGTTTTTCCTCACAAAAGGGCTGTATTACAGACAGAAATACTCCTCAGTTTCATCAGCTGTCCAGGTGGCTGGTCTCAAACAATCCCGCAGGTGAAAAAGCAGGATGTGGAGGTCCTGGGCTAGCGTGGTTACACGTGGTCTGCGGTTGTGAGGCCGGTTGGATATACTGCCAAATTCTCTAAAACGACGTTGGAGGTGGCTTATGGTAGAGAAATGAACATTCAATTATCTGGCAACAGCTCTGGTGGACATTCCTGTAGTCAGCATGCCAATTGCACGCTCCCTCAACTTGACAGCTGTGGCATTGTGTTGTGTGACAAAACTGCACATTTTAAAGTGGCCTTTTATTGTCCCCAGTACAAGGTGCACCTGTGTAATGATCATGCTGTTTAATCAGCTTCTTGATATGACACAACTGTCAGGTAGATGGATTATCTTGGTAAAGGAGAAATGCTCACTAACAGGGATGTAAACAAATGTGTGCACAGAATTGGAGAGAAATAAGCTTTTTGTGCATATGGAACATTTCTGGGATCTTTTATTTCAGTTCATGAAACATGGGACCAACACACTTCACATGTTGTGTTTACATTTTTGTTCAGTATAATTGTTGTTGCCTCTCAAGACTCAGATTAGACTGAAATGTGTATTTGGGGGTCAAATGTAACGCATGTTACAATTTACCCCTTACCTAAAGTCTATGGTATTTTTTATGGTATTTAGACACATTCACATAATGATATGAAATGTCACTTCTTTACATCAAGTTTACCAGTAGAACTAAGATAATACCTTTTAGAAATATGCAAAAAGCCAAATTCATACTTTTGAACGCTATAAGTATCTTATATAAAATATGTACATTTTGGCTACTCCGTTTTTGGTCAATATGACATGCCTAAAAGATCAAATGGGAAATATTGTATAGATTTTGTTGATTTTCATACAAATATCATTTTCAATTACCCCTAATTTTTACAGTTGAAGACAGTGTGAAATTTAACCCTGCAGCAGCTATTTTAGATGTAGATTTCTTAGTTTTAATACTAAAATAACTGTTAGTAAATTGTCATTTCATCCTTCGTTAGGTTTAGTTATTATCAGTTGACTAAAACTCTGGACAATTTATCTAGTTTTAGTCAGTAATTTTAGTCACATAATAGTTTTTTCCCCCATTAAATAATAAAAATGTACCTCTAACTTCCATAATGTGCACATTAACATAGCTTTCTCCAACTAGGTCTACTATCCCCTCATATACAGTGCATTCTGAAAATATTCAGACCCCTTGACTTATTCCACATTTTGTTACGTTACAGCCTTATTCTAAAATGGATTTTAATAAATATCCTCTTCAATCTACACACAATACCCCATAATGACAAAGCGAAAACAAACAGGTTTTTAGAAATGTTTGCAAATTTAATAAAAATAAAAAACAGATACTTTATTTACATAAATATTCAGACACTTTGCTATGAGACTCGACATTGAGCTCAGGTGCATCCTGTTTCCGATGTTTCTACAACTTGATTGGAGTCCACCTGTGGTATATTCTATAATTGGACATGATTTGGAAAGGTGCACACCTGTCTATATAAGGTCCCACAGTTGACAGTGCATGTCAGAGCAAAAACCAAGCCATGAGGTCGAAGTAATTGTCCTTAGAGCTCCAAGACAGGATTATGTCGAGGCACAGATCTGGGGAAGGGTAGCAAAATATTTCTCCACCATTGAAGGTCCCCAAGAACACAGTGGCCTCCATCATTCTTAAATTGAAGAAGTTTGGAACCTCAAACTCTTCCTATAGCTGGCCGCCCGTCCAAACTGAGCAATCAGGGGAGAAGGGCCTTGGTCATGGAGGTGACCAAGTACCCGATGGTCACTCTGACAGATCTCCAGAGTTCCTCTGTGGAGATGGGAGAACCTTCCAGAGCGACAACCATCTCTGCAGTACCCCACCAATCAGGCCTTTTATGATAGTGGCCAGAAGTAAGCCACTCCTCAGTAAAAGGCACATGACAGCCCTCTTGCAGTTTGCCAAAGGGCACCTAAAGGACTCTCAGACCATGAGAAACAAGATTCTCTGGTTTGATGAAACCAAGATTGAACTATTTGGCCTGAATGCCAAGTGTCACGTCTGGAGGAAACCTGGCACCATCCCTACGGTGAAGCATGGTGGTTGCAGAGTCATGCTGTTGGGATGTTTTTCAGCTGCAGGGACTGGGAGACTAGTCAGGATCGAGGGAAAGATGAACGGAGCAAAGTACAGAGAGATCATTGATGAAAACCTGCTCCAGAGCTCTCAGGACCTCAGACTGGGGCGAAGGTTCACCTTCATACAGGACAACGACCCTAAGCACACAGGCAAGACAACGCATGAGTGGCTTCGGGACAAGTCTCTGAATGTCCTTGAGTGGCCCGGCCAGAGCCCGGACTTGAACCCGATCTAATATCTTTGGAGAGACCTGAAAATAACTGTGCAGCGATGCTCCCCATCCAACCTAACAGAGCTTGAAAGGATCTGCAGAGAAGAATGGGAGAAACTCCCCAAATACAGGTGTGCCAAGCTTGTAGCGTCATACCCAAGAAGACTCGAGGCTGTAATCGCTGCCAAAGGCGCTTCAACAAAGTACTGAGTAAAGGGTCTGGATACTTATGTAAATGTCATATTTCAGTTTTTGTTTTGTTATACATACATTTGCAAAAATTTCTTAACCTGTTTTTGCTTTGTCATTATGGGGTATTGTGTGTAGATTGATTTAGGGGGGGGGATTTTTGTTTAATCCATTTTAGAATAAGGCTGTAAAGTAATGTGGAAAAAGTCAATGGGTCTGAATAATTTCTGAATGCACTGTACCTTAGCTGGCAACATTGCTATTGTGGCAGATTGTAACCAATGCCAGCCATAATTAACCATATGGCTATAAAGCCTTGGCTACAGGTTAAACAATTTACAATTCAGATTTTCTCCCCATCATAACCGTTGAAGTCATTTCCTTCAAAAGGGGAGAATCTCAACTTTACAACAGTGCCAGAAATAATACTGTACTCCTAATAATACTGTACTCCTAATAATACTGTACTCCTAATAATACTGTACTCCTAATAATACTGTACTCCTAATAATACTGTACTCCTAATAATACTGTACTCCTAATAATGCTGTACTCCTAATATTCAGCAAATAGCATTTGTTTTTCCCTGCAGCGCAGCCTGTTACATTTAACCCCACATACGGGGCCAATTGTAACATTTCACTTCCGCCACTCTCGGTTAAATAGTAAACGACTGGTATGTCCTAGAAACGTAGTTATTGTGTAATGGTAGCTGAGACATACCGTACCAGTCAAAATTTTCGACACACCTACTCATTCAAGGGTCTTTCTTTATTTTTACTAATTTCTACATTGTAGAATAATAGTGAAGACATCAAAACTATAATATAACACATTTGGAATCCTATATTAACCAGAAAAGTGTTAAACAAATCTAAATATGTTTTATATTTGAGATTCTTCAAAGTAGACACCCTTTGCCTTGATGACAGCTTTGCACACTCTTGGCATTTTCTCAACCAGCTTCACCTGGAATGCTTTCCCAACAGTCTTGAAGGAGTTCCCACATATGCGGAGCACTTGTTGGCTTCCTTTCCTTCACTCTGCGGTCCAACTCATCCCAAACCATCTCAATTGGGTTGAGTTTGGGTGATTGTGGAGGCCAGGTCATCTGATGCAGCACTCCATCACTCTCCTTCTTGGTCAATAGCCCTTACACTGCCTGGAGGTGTGTTGGGTCATTGTCCTGTTGAAAAATAAAGGATAGTCCCCCTAAGCGCAAACCAGGATGGCGTATCGCTGCAGAATGCTGTGGTAGCCATGCGCTTTGAATTCTAAATAAATCACCGACATTGTCACCGGCAAAGCACCATCACACCACCTCCTCCATGCTTCACAGTGGGAACCACACATGCAGAGATCATCCGTTCACCTACTCTGCGTCTCACAAAGACATGGCGGTTGGAACCAAAAATCTCTAATTTGGACTCATCAGACCAAAGGATAGATTTCCTCTGGTCTAATGTCCATTGCTCGTGTTTCTTGGCCCAAGCAAGTCTCTTCTTCTTATTGGTGTCCTTTTAGTAGTGGTTTCTTTGCAGCAATTCGACCATGAAGGCCTGATTCATGCAGTTTCCTCTGAACAGTTGATGTTGAGATGTGTTTGTTACTTGAACTCTGTGAAGCATTTATTTGGGCTGCAATTTCTGAGGCTGGTAACTCTAATGAACTTATCCTCTGCAGCAGATGTAACTCTGGGTCTTCCTTTACTTTGGCGGTCCTCATGAGAGCCAGTTTCATCATAGCGCTTGATGGTTTTTGCGACTGCACTTGAAGAAACTTTCAAAGTTCTTGAAATGTTCCGGATTGACTGACATTCATGTCTTAAAGTAACAATGGTAATTTCTCTTTGCTTATTTGAGCTGTTCTTGCCATAATATGGACTTGGTCTGTTACCAAATAGGGCTATCTTCTGTATACCAACCCTACCTTGTCATAACACAACTGATTGGCTCGATGCATTAAGAAGGAAAGAAATTCCACAAATTAACTTTTAACTTCATGAAGCTGGTTGAGAGAATGCCAAGAGTGTGCAAAGCTGTCATCAAGGCAAAGGGTGGCTACTTTGAAGAATCTCAAATATTAAATATATTTTGATTTGTTTAACACTTTTTTCTTACTACATGATTCCATATGTGTTATTTCATAGTGTTGATGTCTTCACCTATTATTCTACAATGTAGAAAATAGTTAAAATAAAGAAAAACCCTTGAATGAGTAGGTGTGTCCAAACTTTTGACTGGTACTGTATGTTTGTTTGAGTTAGATTAATACTATTTATATACAATCTTTTCATAAATAAGCAAAAGGCAAAAAGTGTTACATTTTATATCGTCTCCCCTCGTGTTGATAGCTTTAGGCTGTGGCAGGTTCAATGTCCTCCCTAAGGCAAGGTGAACTCTGGATCTGGAAGTTCTTAAACCGTAAACAGTTCTTGGAATGTTTCTGTGTTTTGACCTTTCATAGTCTTAGACACACACACACACACACACACACACACACACACACACACACTGCTGCCTCAGTGCACATGCTAGAGCACGGTCACTCGTGTCACTGGGTCGGAGGTGACCAACAATTTAATCTATATAAATTCATAGAAAGTGTCACATTTTACTGATATAGCCTAGGCCTAAGTGCTTTTTTAAAACACATTTCCACCAAGTCCTTATTAGCATAACAGCAACCTAGGCCTAAAGCTGTAGGTGACAGTGACAATAAACAGGTTCCTAGGTTGGAAAAACTCTAGGGAGTGAATATGCAAACAAATGAACGTTTTGCCCTACATTTTCGGAACATGTTCTGGTTTCTTCAGGTGAATGGAACAGATGCTGTGACTAAGAGAAGCGCCTCGTTGACAGGTGAGTGTGCACGTTTATCCATCCATCCAGGTGTGGCAGCGTTAGGCAGTGATCAATTACACACACTACTCTCTGTACACACCCTCACACGGGCACGCACACACGTGCGCACACATTGCTGTGCAAACATGCTCAGATGTTGTTTGTACATTTGAGCCTCTGGCTGTGTGTGTCCGTCCTGTAGAAAAAGGGATCAAGCTGGTGCAGGAGGGCCAGTATTCTCAGGCCATCATTATGTTTACAGAAGCCATCAAATACGACCCAAAGGATTACAGGTAATATCACACCATTACATGTTATATATCTGCATTATATGACTTACTACCGCATGACCTCTGACCTCAATACGCTAGTTACAGTGAGCTCCAAAAGTATTGGGACAGTGACACAATTTTTGTTGTAACAGGGGAGGTTAGCATTTTTGGGGGTGTATGATATTTATGCCTCTAACTTTCTCACTCACTTATTCACGATTCATTCAGGATTATCCGTAATCATGGTAGCATCCATATTAATGTAGAAGTGTTGAGAAACATTCTATTCTTATTTACAATAAAAGTGACTCCAAAATGACACTACATTGTTTATCATTCATTTATCTTGGGCACAAAATAATCTGAAACACAACCAAAACAAACAGCAAATGCATCCAGCAAGTTTGTAGTCACTAGCTTGATGTAATCATTGTGTTCTAGGAATATCGGACCAAATATTAAACTTTTTACTTCTTTAATACACATATAAGTGAATTTGTCCCAATACTTTTGGTCCCCTAAAATGGGGGCACTATGTACAAAAAGTGCTGTAATTCCTAAACGGTTCACCCGATATGGATGAATACTCTCAAATTAATGCTGACAGTCTACAATTTAATTTCAAAGCCAAAAAAAGTAATACATGTCACTGTCCCAATACTCTTGGAGCTCACTGTATCGAGCCGACATCAATACATTGATACAGTATGACATAGACTATAAACAACAATTTACCCTCTGTGTGTCTGTATGCATGTGTGTTTTTATATGTGCACGTCTCCATCTGTCCGTGTGTGTTTATCTGTCCGTCCTTCCAGGTTCTTTGGGAACCGGTCGTACTGCTATAGCTGTTTGGAGCAGTACCCCCAGGCTTTGTCTGATGCTGAGAGGTCCATCCAGCTTGCACCTGACTGGCCTAAAGGATACTTCCGCAAGGGCAGCGCACTCATTGGGATGAAGGTGGACCACAGACTGCATAACTGTCCTCTCCTGTTCTATTGTAATCTATTCTATAGGATGCAAATTCTCCATTTAGGGATTATTCATAAATTATGTAATATAGGTTTATGCAGGCATTTTGTGTCTTGACCTCTAAGCGTGTGTGTTTGTAGCGGTACAGTGAGGCGGAGAAAGCCATGGAACAGGTGCTGAAGCTGGATAAAGACTGTGAGGAGGCTGTCAACGATCTCTTCAACTGCAAAGTCTTACAGCTAATGGTAAACAAACACATCTCTGAATACACAAATGTGGCTATGTGCTACCAACGTGCTCACGATACGTATGGGAAATAGCAAAGTATAGCTATGTTACAGATCCCCTAAACTGTTTCCTTGTCTCCTTTCTTTGAGGAAAAGCAGTAGAGGACAGGAGGAGTTTAGGCTAGTGCTTTTCAAACCTCTACTTTGAGACCACCAACCGTTCCATGTACAGGGCTGTGTAAAAGTACTTGCCCCCTTTCTGATTTTCTCTATTTTTTCATATTTCTGATACTGAATGTTATCAGATCTTCAACCAAAACCTAATATTAGTTCAAGGGAACCTGAGTTTAAAAATAACAGAAAAAATGGATACTTATTTTATTTTTTTAATTAACGAAGTTATGCAACACCCAATTCCCCTGTGTGAAAAAGTAATTGCCCACTTACACTGAATAACTGGTTGTGCCACGTTTAGCTGCAATGACTGCAACCAAATGCTTCCTGTAGTTGTTGATCAGTCTCTCACATCTCTTTGGAGGAATTTGGGCCCACTCTTGCATGCAGAACTGCTTTAACTCAGCGACATTTGTGGGTTTCTAAGCATGAACTGCTCGTTTCAAGTCCTGCAACAACATTTCAATTGGGATTAGGTCTGGACTTTGACTAGGCCATTCCAAAACTTCAAATTTGTTGCTTTTTAACCATTTTCATGTAGACTTGATTTTGTGTTTTGGATCATTGTCTTGCTGCATGCCCAGCTGGCCTGACAGTCTCCTGTAGAATTATCTGATACGGAGCAGAATTCATGGTTCCTTCTATTAAGGCAAGTTGTCCATGACCTGAGGCAGCAAACCATCACACTACCACCACAATGCTTGACCGTTGGTATGAGGTTCTTACTGTGGAATGCAGTGTTTGGTTTTCGCCAGGCATAACGGGACCAATTATTAAAAAGCTCCAACAAAAAGGTGAAACGTCTAGGGGTCACTGAGGAGAGGTTTGAAAACCACTGAGCTAGTGTACACACAAGTAATCATGCACTGTTTGTCCTTTTGAATAGTCCTACATCTGAAAACCCAGGACAGGGAAATCATTGTGTTGACTCTCCAGAAGAGGAGAGGACACCGCTCTATAGACTGTTGGGATGGATCCTTAGTCTTGCTTCCTAACAGTCTCTCTCTCTCGCTGTCGCTCGCTGTCTCGCTCTGTCTTTCTCTCTCGCTGTCTCTCGCTCTCTCGCTGTCGCGTTCTCTCGCTCTCTCAAATCAAATCAAACCCTTACCACCTGGGGGCGGCCCGTCAGGAAGTCCAGGATCCAGTTGCAGAGGGAGGTGTTTAGTCCCAGGATCCTTAGCTTAGTGATGAGCTTTGAGGGCACTATGGTGTTGAATGCTGAGCTGTAGTCAATGAATAGCATTCTCACGTAGGTGTTCCTCTTGTCCAGGTGGGAAAGGGCAGTGTGGAGTGCAATAGAGATTGCATCATCTGTGGATCTGTTGGGGCGGTATGCAAATTGGAGTGGGTCTAGGGTTTCTAGGATAATGGTGTTGATGTGAGCCATGACCAGCCTTTCAAAGCACTTCATGGCTACAGACGTCAGTGGTACGGGTCGGTAGTCATTTAGGCAGGTTATCTTAGTGTCCTTGGGCACGGGGACTATGGTGGTCTGCTTGAAACATATTGGTATTACAGACTCAGTCATGGACATGTTGAAAATGTCAGTGAAGACACTTGCCAGTTGGTCAGCACATGCTCGGAGTACACGTCCTGGTAATCCGTCTGGCCCTGCGGCCTTGTGAATGTTGACCTGCTTAAAAGTCTTACTCACATCGGCTACGGAGAGCGTGATCACATAGTCATCCGGAACAGCTGGTGCTCTCATGCATGCTTCAGTGTTGCTTGCCTCGACGCGAGCATAGAAGTGGTTTAGCTCGTCTGGAAATCTTGTGTCACTGGGCAGCTCGCGGCTGTGCTTCCCTTTGTAGTCTGTAATAGTTTTCAGGCTCTGCCACATCCGACGAGCGTCAGAGCCGGTGTAGTACGATTCAATCTTAGTCCTGTATTGACTCTTTGCCTGTTTGATGGTTCGTCGGAGGGCATAGCGGGATTTCTTATAAGCGTCCGGGTTAGAGTCCCGCTCCTTGAAAGCGGCAGCTCTACCCTTTAGCTCAGTGCGGATGTTTCCTGTAATCCATGGCTTCTGGTTGGGGTATGTACGTACGGTCACTGGTTGGGGTATGTACGCGCTCTCTCGCGCTCCCTCTCTCTCGCGCTCCCTCTCTCTCGCGCTCCCTCTCTCTCGCGCTCTCTGTGTTTCTCGCGCTCTTTGTGTGTCTCGCTCTCTCTGTGTGTCTCGCTCTCTCTGTGTGTCTCGCTCTCACGTTCTCTCGCTTGCTCTCACTCGCTCTCACGTGCTCTCGCTCTCTCTCACGTGCTCTCGCTCTCTCTCACGTGCTCTCGCTCTCTCTCACGTTCTCTCTCACGCTCTCGCTCACGCTCTCGCTTTCTCTCGCATTCTCTCACGATCGCGCTCTCTCTCGCGCTCTCTCTCGCGCTCTCTCTCGCGCTCTCTCTCGCGCTCTCTCTCGCGCTCTCTCTCGCGCTCTCGCTCTCATTCTCTCGCGTTCTCTCTCGCGCTCCCTCTCTCGCGCTCTCTGTTTCTCGCTCTCTCTGTGTGGCTCGCTCTCACGTTCTCTCGCTCGCTCTCACGTTCTCTCGTTCGCTCTCACGTTCTCTCGCTTGCTCTCACGTTCTCTCGCTCGCTCTCACGTTATCTCGCTCGCTCTCACGTGCTCTCGCTCGCTCTCACGCTCTCGCGTTCTCTCTCACGCTCTCGCTCTCTCTCACGCTCTCGCTCTCTCTCACGCTCTCGCTCGCGCTCTCTCTCGCGCGCTCTCTCTCGCGCTTTCTCGCGCGCTCTCACGCTCTCTTGCTCTCGCGCTCTCTCTCTCGCTCTCTCTTGCGCTCTCTCTCTCACTCTCTCGCGCTCCCTCTCTCTCGCGCTCCCTCTCTCTTGCTCCCTCTCTCGCGCTCCCTCTCTCTCGCCTCCCTCTCTCTCGCGCTCCCTCTCTCGCGCGCTCTGTGTTTCTTGCGCTCTCTGTGTTTCTCGCTCACTCTGTGTGTCTCGCTCTCACGTTCTCTCGCTCGCTCTCACGTTCTCTCGCTCGCTCTCACGTTCTCTCGCTCGCTCTCACGTTCTCTCGCTCGCTCTCACGTTCTCTCGCTCGCTCTCACGTGCTCTCGCTCTCGCTCTCACGTGCTCTCGCTCTCGCTCTCTCTCGCGCTCTCACATTCTCTCTCGCGTTCTCTCTCGCGCGCTCTCACTCTGTGTCTCTCTCTCTGTGTCTCTCGCTCTCTCTGTGTCTCTCGCTCTCTCTGTGTGTCTCTCTCTCTCTGTGTCTCTCTCGCTGTGTGTCTCTCTCTCTCTCTGTGTGTCGCTCTCTCTGTGTGTGTCTCGCACGCTCTCTCTCTCTCTCTGTGTGTCTCTCTCTCGCTCTGTGTGTCTCTCTCGCTCTGTGTGTCTCTCTCGCGCTGTGTGTCTCTCTCTCGCTCTGTGTGTGTCTCTCTCTCGCTCTGTGTGTCTCTCTCTCGCTCTGTGTGTCTCTCTCTCGCTCTGTGTGTCTCTCTCTCGCTCTGTGTGTCTCTCTCTCACTCTGTGTGTCTCTCTCTCGCTCTGTGTTCTCTCTCTCGCTCTGTGTGTCTCTCTCTCGCTCTGTGTGTCTCGCGCTCTGTGTCTCTTCGCTCTGTGGTCTCGCGCTCTGGTCTCTTGCTCTGTCTCTGTCTCGCTCTCTCTCTCTGTGTCTATCTCTCTCTCTCTCTCTGTGTCTCTCTCTCGCTCTGTGTCTCTCTCTCGCTCTGTGTCTCTCTCTCGCTCTGTGTCTCTCTCTCGCTCTGTCTCTCTGTGTCGCTCTCTCTCTGTGTCTCTGTGTGTCTCTCTCTCTCTCTGTGTCTCTGTGTGTCTCTCTCTGTCTCTCTCTCTCTCTGTCTCTCACTCTGTGTCGCTCTCTCTCACTCTGTGTCGCTCTCTCTCGCTCTGTGTCTCTCTCTCGCTCTGTGTCTCTTGCTCTGTGTGTCTCTCTCTCGCTCTGTGTGTCTCTCTCTCGCTCTGTGTGTCTCTCTCTCGCTCTGTGTGTCTCGCTCTGTGTGTCTCGCTCTGTGTGTCTCGCTCTGTGTGTCTCGCTCTGTGTGTCTCTCTCTCTCGCTCTGTGTCTCTCTCTCTCGCTCTGTGTCTCTCTCTCTCGCTCTGTGTCTCTCTCTCTCGCTCTGTGTCTCTCTCTCGCTCTGTGTGTCTCTCTCTCGCTCTGTGTGTGTCTCTCTCGCTCTGTGTGTGTCTCTCTCGCTCTGTGTATCTCTCTCGCTCTGTCTCTCTCGCTCTGTCTCTCTCTCTGTGTCGATCTCTCTCGCTCTGTGTGTCGCTCTCTCTCGCTCTGTGTGTCTCTCTCGCTCTGTGTGTCGCTCTCTCTCGCTCTGTGTGTGTGTCTCTCTTACTCTAACTCTCACTCTCTCTGTCTCTAGGATCTGGGTTTTGAGGAGGTGCAGAGTGTGTTGCTGCTGGAGCGATTCACCACTCTACAGGCTGTGCTGACCTCACCTGAGGCTTCTAGTGGTGAGGACACACACACACACACACCATTGTGCAGGCCGTGCCAGTGGTATGGAAATACATGCAATTCCTCTTCTTAAGCCAAGAGGGCAGCAATGTCAGGAATTAGTCTAATTTAAATGGAATTGGGAAGGAAAGAGAAGACATTTCTGTGAGTTATTGCTGAATTGTAGAAGGTTACAAATGAAGTCAGTTGTTGCCTTCTCTCTCCTCAGTGGTGAGCCAGGATTCCTCATTGGGCTTGCCAGGGTAGGTGGATATTATCCTATCTCATTGACCCAATAAGGGTCAGGGGTCATGGCCCCCAATAGAAAAACATACATTTTTGATTTCCTTATTTGGTGTGGACAAGTGTGTGTAACTTGACATCTGTGTGGACGTAAGTGATGTCTCTTCCCTATTCGGCCTCTCTCTTCCTCCTTCAGGTCCCCTTGTGCGTCTCTCTGGGTGGGGAACGTGACCTCTGAGCTGACTGAGAAACACCTATTGGACCTCTTTAAAACCTACGGGGAGATAGACAGCATACGAGTTCTCCACGAGCGGTTCTGTGCCTTCGTCAACTTCAAGAACGCCAACATGGCATCGCGGGCCATGGAGAAACTCCACGTGAGTGGCCTTCTGTGAGGTCATAATGTGGCTCTTTTCAGTGTTTTTTTTTTTTGAATGTCTTGTTTTATTAAATATATATTTGAATGTTTTATATTTATTACAGAAATGCACAGTGAAGTTTTCTATTCTATTGACCGTAATGTATTTGTATTTTGTGGGTGTATGTGTTCCCCCACAGGGCTACAGTATAGAGAACACAAGGTTGGTGGTTCGCTACCCAGACCATCGCACCCAGAGGGCTCTACCCATCCCCCTCAAGACCAGCCCCCTCGCATTGCAACAGGCAGCTGCTGGGTAAGAAAACACCTTTTAAAGCTGAGATACGTGAAAGGTGAAACGGCGCCACTGTGCCACCTTGTTGACTGTCTGCACCACTGTGAAAAAACTTTATGATATAAGGAACTTTTTTGCTCTAGATTACAGGAAATGGCAATTACAGGTGTTCAAAACCGCAAAATTCTTGGCACTGCCCCCCTCCGGGCCTCCCACCCAGCCGTACTCAGCAGCACCACCTTGTTAAAAAATCCATATGAAAATCCTTCATCTGACTCTGGGGAAGTAGATTAAGGGCTTCATTGCCAAAATCCTGAAGAATCCCTTTAAAATAAAGTGCTTCATTGCCAAAATCCTGAAGTATCCCTTTATGATAAAGCAAGAGCAAATCCGTTGAGGATGAGCCACGTGGCCCACTTTAACATTTGTATAATTTCATCCCAAAATCACATTTACGTAACTTTCTAACCTTCTTGCCCCTTTTCCAGTCCCAGACGTTGTGGCCCAGTGAACGGAGATGAGTGCTACTTCTGGAGGACCACCGGTTGCCATTTTGGGGACAAGTGTCGCTACAAACACATTCTTGAACAGAGAGGCAAAGACCGGAAGCCCTGGCAGCCCTGAGCACAGTTTCAAATCAAATCAAATTTTATTTGTCACATGCACCCAATACAACTGGTGAAGACTTTACCGTGACACTTTTCCTCCTCAATTCTGGCCTTTTATTGAAACTGGGACCCCATTATGGACACTGACTGAGCCGATGGACTCGATATTAAATGGACCGTGTTCTCCCCCCAAAGGACAACAGTAGGACTGTTGTTGTGATGGAGGACAATATTCAGACTAATAAAATGGAGGACACCATAATGAGTGCTATAACATAAGAGAGCATTAGGACTGTAATAATGGACCAGAAGACATCAACAGTCCCCCTTGACCACAGCTGGGCCTTTAGCCTCTGCATGGGAACGAACCTCAACACCTTGAAGCCTTAAAACCTTACTAGCCCTATGGCTGGCATCAGTTAGCCCTATGGCTAGCATCAGTTAGCCCTACAGCTGGCATCAGTTAGCCCTACGGCTGGCATCAGTTAGCCCTATGGCTGGCATCAGTACTACTGCTGTCTGGGGTTTGTGGCCTAGGTAACTGGGCTCTCCTCTCATCTCCCATCCATGTCTCTCTCTTCCCATGCCAATACCACCAGACCAGAACGGACCAGGCCCTCCACACCAAAGGAGAACCAATAACCACAAAGACCACCACTCCAAAGACCCAGCAGCCATCCAGCCTGCAGCAGATTCACCCTGACGTTTCAGTTCCTCCCTAAGAAAGAGGTGCCTCCTTTCCACTCTCCCTTGGTGCCAAGCAACCTGCCTCCTAAAATGGTAATGTTAGTTAGGCACCAAATGGAATAAAACAGACTGAAACAGATCGGGACTACCTGGATTTCTCCAATAAGAAACATTCATTTTCCTTTGGCAAAAATGTTCAAATGTTTTCCTTGTCATGCCCTAAAGAACATGTTCCAGGGCTTGCGCTACACTGGGCTATTGGCCTTAGCTATGTGGGCCATTGCAATGTACCTTCGCCCATAGTGAAGATCTCAGTTAAAAGAGAGTGAGTGGAGCAGAAAGGTGTACCACCAACTTAACAGAACCTTGTTTTTCAATGTATTAATCCATGTTTCATTTTACCACTACCAGATGGCCAACAGCTTAAATGCACACTCCACATCTGTTTGGGCGATTTTGACACAGAACTGACTCCAACTTTTTTCTATATGTTTGTTTCAAGTTTAGTTCGCCAGCCCTTAAGATATCTGGGAAATAAGCACCTTGTTTGTCAAATGAACCAAGTATGTTACTTGTTCTCTGTTTCCATCTACCCTCTCTAGACCCTGCACCCTCTCTGTGTGTCCTATTACGGGACACTCACTGAATGTCTGTAGGCAAGACCAAAGCTTGAGGGTCCATCTCAGCAGTTTAAAGTGGCTAGTTGAAGCTATGTAAGACAAAGCTAGCTGCATCTTTTGTTTAAATCTGTCTGATTTTACTAATGGCAGTTATTGGAGGTTGGTTTCCAGGAATGGGTTCAACACTTTGCAGTAAAGCCCTCTTCTCACACTATCGTCTGTCCCTACAGCGTTAGGCTGTCATTCTCTGTCCCCGTGACACCCAAAACTGTAGAGGAGATGCTTTGGACACGGAAGTGCCCAAACTACACCGTATTTCCCTTTTTTGTGTTCCATCTTCAGATTCTCACCGTTCTGTAGACATGAGGCTTCCATGTCAGTATTTAGTCTGAACCAAAGAATGGTTGTAGCCAACCAAATGCTGTCTGCACTGGTAATACGTGGAAGCGGTTTCTTTATTCTGCCACTTAAGGCTTGAAACGCAATGGGACAGTTTACTGGACCCAGATTAAGCGTAGTGATTAACTAAAAAGCACTTTTTAATGTAGAGTTTCAATTGAGCTTTTTAGTTCAGGATTTGCCTTAATCTGGATATGGGAAACTGCTCCAAGATCCAGTGAATCACAACAAGCCTCTCATGGTGGGGTGAGGAACTGTAGCTGCCACTAAAAATGAGAATTCTTCACCACAAAGTCCTTTTTCTTAGTCCACACTACTCTATATCTCAAACTGTGTACAGACAGGTGCTGGCTATTTATTTCCGTATTTATATGTATATTTTCTTTACCTGTGAGACCATTGTGGTTGGTTGGTTTACGATTAAAATTCAAATGATTACTCACCAGACGCTAAAACATTCTGGGACGTTTTCTTCATTGTATTTTTTTGTAGAGATTCTCCATTGAAAGTGATTTTTTAGTCCAGGACTTAGGTTAGTCTGGGAAACAGCCCTGTTTGTTTAGTAACTGTCTGAGATAAATAATTGTTAGTAAATGTGGTGGGGAGGTTCTGCTTTTCTGTGGTTGCTGGTTTCCGGCCTCGTAGAGATTGGTCAAAAAATTCATATTGGGATAAAGTCCCATGAGAAACCACTATAATATTATCTTTAAACGACTCACATAAGTGTATTTTCTTAGTTCAATGACCCCAAGTACACAGTATTCCCTAATTTGGGCCAATGCATGTTTTATAAGTTTGATAGAAAGGAATAATAAAGTATTTCTGTGTGAAGCCCACTTTTTTCGTTTGGCACGTGTGATTTTTAGTACGAATCCATTTATCTCGTGTCCCAATTTCAGGAGAAAGTGTTTTTGGGTCGTACATAGTCATAAAAAATGTGTAACTCAAGCACTGTAATCTCTGTTCATTCTAAATCTACCAAATATTTTAAATGTGTGAAAGTATTCTGCACTGCCAGAGTCCTTTTGTACATAATATATTCATTCATATAATTTCAGCCTCTGTGTCTTTTTATTTTTCTGTTTTCTTCCTGCCATTATGACATACAGTACATTCGGAAAGTATTCAGACCCCTTGACTTTTTCCACATTTTGTTACGTTACAGCCTTATTCTAAAATGGATTAAATAAATACAAATCTCATTCTACACACAATACCCCATAATGACGAAGCAAAAAACAGATTTTTAGAAATGTTTGCAAATCTATTAAAAATAAAAAACTGATACCTTATTTACATAAGTATTTGCTATGAGACTCTAAATTGAGCTCAGGGGTATCCTGTTTCCATTGATCATCCTTGATGTTTCTACAACTTGATTGGACTCTACGTGTGGTAAATTCAATTGATTGGACATGATTTGGAGAAGGGCCTTGGTCAGGGAGGTGACCAAGAACCCGATGGTCACTGACACATCTCCAGAGTTCCTCTGTGCAGATGGAGAAACTTCAAGAAGGACAACAATCTCTGCAGCACTCCACCAATCAAAATCAAATCAATTTATTGGTCACATACACATGGTTAGCAAATGTCATTGCAAGTGTAGCGAAATGCTTGTGCTTCTAGTTCTGACAGTGCAGCAATATCTAGCAAGTAATATCTAACAGTTCCACAACAAAAACCTAATACACACAAATCTAAGTAAAGGAATGTAATAAGATTATATAAATATATGGATGAGCAATGTCATTATCAGTGGCATAGGCTAAGATGTAATAGATATAATACAGTATATACATATGAGATGGGTAATGCAAGATATGTAAACATTTTAAAAGTGGCATTATTAAAGTGGCCAGTGATTTTCAAGTCTGTATGTAGGCAGCAGCCTCTCTGTGCTAGTGATGGCTGTTTAACAGTCTGATGGCCTTGAGATAGAAGCTGTTTTTCAGTCTCTCTGTCCCAGCTTTGATACACCTGTACTGACCTCGCCTTCTGGATGATAGCGGGGTGAACAGGCAGTGGCTCGGGTGGTAATTATCCTTGATTATCTTTTTTGGCTTCCTGTGACATCGGGTGCTGTAGGTGTCCTGGAGGGCAGGTAGTTTGCCCCCGGTGATGCGTTGTGCACACCGCACCACCCTCTGGAGAGCCTTGTGGTTGTGGGCGGTGCAGTTGCCATACCAGGCGGTGATACAGCCCGACGGGATGCTCTCAATTGTGCTTCTGTAAAGGTTTGTGAGGGTTTTAGGTGACAGGCCACATTTCTTCAGCCTCCTGAGGTTGAAGAGGCTCTGTTGCGCCGTCTTCACCACTGTCTGTGTGACGTTGAGTGAGAGGTTATTTTCCTGACACCACACTCCAAGAGCCCTCACCTCCTCCCTGTAGGCTGTCTCATCGTTTTCGTAATCAAGCCTACTACTGTTGTGTCGTCTGCAAACTTGATTGAGTTGGAGGTGTGCATGACTACGCAGTCATGGGTGAACAGGGAGTACAGGAGGGGGCTGAGCACACACCCTTGTGGGGCCCCAGTGTTGAGGATCAGCGAAGTGGAGATGTTGTTTCCTACCTTCACCACCTGGGGGTGGCCCGTCAGGAAGTCCAGGACCCAGTTGCACAAGGTGGGGTTGAGACCCAGGGCCTCAAGCTTAATGATGAATTTGCAGGGTACTATGATGTTGAATGCTGAGCTATAGTCAATGAACAGCATTCTTACATACAGTGAGGGAAAAAAGTATTTGATCCCCTGCTGATTTTGTACGTTTGCCCACTGACAAAGACATGATCAGTCTATGATTTTAATGGTATGTTTATTTGAACAGTGAGATACAGAATAACAACAAAAAAATCCAGAAAAACGCATGTCAAAAATGTTATAAATTGATTTGCATTTTAATGAGGGAAATAAGTATTTGACCCCTCTGCAAAACATGACTTAGTACTTCGTGGCAAAACCCTTGTTGGCAATCAGAGGTCAGACGTTTCTTGTAGTTGGCCACCAGGTTTGCACACATCTCAGGAGGGATTTTGTCCCACTCCTCTTTGCAGATCTTCTCCAAGTCATTAAGGTTTTGAGGCTGACGTTTGGCAACTCGAACCTTCAGCTCCCTCCACAGATTTTCTATGGGATTAAGGTCTGGAGACTGGCTAGGCCACTCCAGGACCTTAATGTGCTTCTTCTTGAGCCACTCCTTTGTTGCCTTGGCCGTGTGTTTTGGGTCATTGTCATGCTGGAATACCCATATACGACACATTTTCAATGCCCTAGCTGAGGGAAGGAGGTTCTCACCCAAGATTTGACGGTACATGGCCCCGTCCATCATCCCTTTGATGCGGTGAAGGAGGAAAACACTCCCAAAGCATAATGTTTCCTTCTTGGGGTTGTACTCATCCTTCTTCTTCCTCCAAACACGGCAAGTGGAGTTTAGACCAAAAAGCTCTATTT